AAATTCCTGATTTCCAACCCTGGCACAGCTCTACAGCCCTTTCCAGGAGGAAATTCCTTCTGATGTCCCACCCTGGCACAGCTCAAGGCCCTTTCCAGGAGGAAATTCCTTCTGATGTCCCACTCTGGCACAGCTCAAGGCCCTTTCCAGGAGGAAATTCCTGCCATCCCACCCTGGCACAGCTCAAGGCCGTTCCCTCTCCCCCCGTCCCTTGTCCCCCTGCTCTCCTGCCCTGCTGGGGTTGGCAGAGCTGTGGGTGCAGGACGGAAGCCCCAGAGCAGCCCCGAGACAATCCCAGGCACAGAAAAACCCTCCAGGTGGGACAGGAGGGAGCTGAGCAGGGCCAGAGGCAGCAGCAGAGCCAGGTCTGCACCAGGAACCCCAAACTCTTGCAGAAATTCCTTTTTTCCTGATTCCAAGTGCTCCAGAGCACGGCTCCCTGTCAGATGCAAATTGCTGGGGATGAGCACTCCCCCGGCTCGCTGAACCTGGGATCACAGAGATGCTTTCAGCAGATGCTAAAGCCTCTCATAAAACCTTGGCTCCTACTTAGCTCCTAAACAAATAACCCAAACGGCAGAGAAGATGAGGAAAATCATATTTACAAGAGAAAAAAAGAACTTACTTTGGGATTTTATTTCATGAAGAGGTTTTTTATCTGAGAGGGAGGGAGAGAGAGCGAGAAAGTTGCACTTAATAAATTTACATGGAGCATATCTATCTCCTATATTGCTTCTGTCTCACTCTATAAATGAAACATTTTCTCCTCGTTTGCTGACAATATGAATATTTTATGTTGTCCATGTTTTTCTCTTCATCTTCTCTTTTTTTTCTTTTTTTTCTTTTTTTCCCTAAATCCCTATCAGGAAGTTCCTTTGCAGCAATTTCTCACTTGGTTAATTCAGGTTATTTGTTGGCTCTATTGGATGCTGTTGTTTATTTACACCTCAGCAAGAAGGAAGTTCAATACCTTGCAGTGGATCACTGGCAAAGAGACTCAGGTCAGAATTAATGATTCCTTTGTGTGTTTGATGTATGAAAGGCTGGTAATGGACACTTAAATTAGTTACAAGATATAAAAATGCCCAGTTTATTCACATTTTTGTACTAAAAGCCCCCAATAACGGCACCTCTGTGTGTGTATATGAACACACACATCCATGTGCCCCCAACAGATGGAAAAATGGGACCGAAGGGGTTTTCTATGGGACTGCAGCTCTCAAAAATGAGCCTTCTCTGCCTCCCTCATGCCAAGCACTTGAGTCACCATTTACAACCTAAAACCTGCCAAAGTAATCCCTAAAACGGGGAGACTCAGGCGGATTACGGCCAATCCTTCTCTTCATTTCCATGTTTGTGAGGATATGCTCAGTTTAGAAATACTTAACCCAGAAGATCATTGGATTTTCGGCTCCTCACCAGAAACCTGGTGGGAGGAGGTTTTTATTTCCCTGCCCAAGGCTGGTTTTGGTTTTTCAGGAAAATGAGGCCCAAAAACACCCAGAGAGGAGGGTCAGACTGGAGCCTGCAGTGGAGCAAACCCTTCCCTGCTGCTGGACGGGGCTGTCTGCACCAAACTGCAAAGGGAAAAGCATTTCCCATGAAAATGGAGATTCCTGGACCCAGGAGCCTCCTGGCAACAGCAGCAGCGCTGCTTGGAAAATGGAAAACAAAATGATTTGTGATTGTGCTGTGATTATCCAGGGTGCATTAGTAAAAACATGTTTGCAGGTCAGTCCTTGTGGCCCTACTTGTTTGTTTTGGTTTTGGGCACTGGGAGAAGAAATCAATAGGTTTTGAAGTCAGGAGAAATAACTTTAAAGCAAACAGATAAAAGTAAAAGAAAAAGCTCTCAAAAAAAAAAAAAAACCAAACAAAAAACCCTCTCTTTTATTAAGCAAAAAGAAAGCTTTCCCCTCTGCAGGAAAGAGAGAGAAATCCACCCTGGCCAAGCATCCAGCTGGGAATACGGGGAGGGAATAAACACTGGGAGAACAAACATGCAGCACAGCAGTGAGGTCCTGGGACTGGCTGGGGCCAAAGCCACATCTGGCAGCCCTGGAAACCTTTCATCCCTGTCACACCCCACGTGAATCTTCCTCCTGGAAGATCCTCCATCTACGTCTGGATCTACACAGGAGTTGCAAGTTCCAGGAGAAATTCCCTGAAGGAAAAGTTCCTCCAGCTGCTCCTCAGCGAGGGCTGGCCCACCGGGATCCACCCAAGGCCAAAGGGAGCGCTGGGATGTTCCCGGGGGTGTCTTGGGGTTATTCCCAAACTCTCCAGTCAGGGACTGAATAAAGAACCCCAGGGCTGATCCATTGTATCCTCATTCCATTCTCTGCCTCCCGATCTGGGATTTTCCCAGCCAGCTCCAGGCTGGCTCTTCCCTGGCACCCTCCATTCCCACCCTCCCCTTCAGCTCAGTCCTGATTTGTTAACCAAAGGAATGTTGCTATTTCTGCCTCACAGAAGGAGCAAAGTTAACGAGTTGTGCCTGATAAAAAACCTCCAAGAGATTGGTTTGCTGTGGCTCAGGGCTGCATTTCCTCCACAATTCCCCACGGGATGAGAAGCAGTGCAGGAAAGGCACACACTGGAAGATGAACAGGGGAGAAGAGATCTTTTTAAAAAATAGGCTAATTGCATCAATTCCTGTTAGCTGAGAAAGCAATTACAGCCCTGAAAACAACGAGGACACAGGGACAGCTTGAGCCATGAAGGAGGGACGGGATCCCACCTGGAGGTGGAAGGAGCAGGAGCCACGGAGTGCTCCAGCCCAGGGAAATGCAGCTCTTGGAGCACAGCCTGGGGGTGCTGGACGGGGCTTGGAGCCACCTGGGACAGGGGAAGGTGTCCATGGAAGGTGTCCATGGAAGGCGTCTCCACAGAGGAGAGTGGGACTGCAGGGCTTTAAGGCCCCTTCCCACCCAAACCACTCCAGGAAAAGCAGGGAATGAGTTTGTCCAACCCCAAAGGCCTGGCAGGGCAGAGCTGAGCCAGCTCCCTCAGTGCCAGAGGCTCCTGGCACCGTCCTGGCTCTGTCCCTGTGCCCCCAGGCACGGGTGGCGTGTGGCAGTGTCCCCTGGGCTGCCAGCAGGGAATGTGGGGCAGGACTGGAGCATTTCCCACTGGCAGCGTTCCTGCAGGCAGTGACCTGAGTGGGGCCACCTTGAACAGACCCTGGGGACACCACAGACGAAGCCAGGGGGTGGCAGGTCCCCTCTGCTGTCACACCCCCACCGTGCAGCCTCAGCTGCTGCTCCTCACGCCCTTCCCACACGTCCTCCTGCCAGCCCCCACGCAGGGACACCGGGATGGATTTGGGATTGAGCCAGCCATCGGCAGGGACAGGAATTCACTGATGGACAGGGCAGAGAGAGACCCCAGGAAATATCACAGGATCAGCACAGTCCTGAGAGCTGAGTGAATGGCACTGCTCCCAAACCCTCTCTGGGTATTCTTTCTCAAAGCACAGGGAAGGAAAAAAAAAATGAAATTACATTTCTGTCCTTGGACACCTTGAAGCTGTTCTGTAGGCAGAGTGCTGAGTGTTCCCTCCCACCAAACCCCAGCAAAATCTGATTGAAGGTCTCAGCTCAGGTACCTCTGAAGCCTGAATAAATACACAGGATGCTCTCTGCCACTGGGAAAGGATTGAAATCTCAGGGCAAAAAAAGAGAGTTTGTTTTGTTTAGAAGAGAAAAGGCGATGCAGAACCATAGAAACAAGGACGGAGGGCTGGTTGAATACAACATCCCAGAAAACAGACACATCCTTGTTTACATCTCCCAGCCCTGGCACTCCTGATGGCTCCCAGGGCTGCTGTTCCACTGAGGAGGTGACAGCCCCTCCACAGGGACAGGAGCGGGCTCAGGGCGGGGAGAGACTCACAAATTCCTGCCGTGTGCGGAGCCCGCGCAGCTGCAGGGCTGCTCTGCCCAGCTCCCCGTGCTGGGGACAGCAGCAGCTTCCCAGTGCCAGCTGCTTCCCAGACACCCTGAAGGGCAAAGCCTTTCCCAGGGAGCTGCAGCTCTGCCTGGGTTTAGCTCCTGCTAAGGACAGCAAAAGGAGCAAACTCCGACCTTGACCGGCTCCGGCACCCGCAGCTCTCCCGGGGCGCTTTGCCCGTTTGCTCGCCAGGAAGGGCTGAGGAGCACATCTGGCTGGAGGAGCACACGGAGGCTGGAGTTCCACCCCGCAAACCCCCCGGATTTGGGATTTCAGCATGACCTGATCATCCACCGGCAGAGAACGTGCAACACAAATCCAGAGACCCGTAAAATTTCAAACTCCACACAGCAAACCAGAAAACCACCTCCCTTTTCAGGAGAATGAATCAGACACGAGAGCCCCACGCACGCAGGCTCCCTGGCCTCCAGCCCAGCTCTCCGGCCAGGCCCAGGAGCCGCGGCCAGCCCGTGGCAGCTCACCTTGGATGCAGAGCCCCTCGGTGCAGTTCTCGGACTCCTGGCTCAGGCCCTCGCAGTGCTTGCCGCCGTTGCGGGGCGCGGGCGCGGCGCACTCCCGCACGCGCAGGTGCTCGCACTCGGGGCTGCACACCGACCACTCGCTCCACACCTCCCAGCTGCCGTCCACTGCGGGGCCAGGAACACAGTCAGCTCGGCCTGCCCGCCCAGGGAGCTCCCGCAGCAGCGCTTTGCACCCCTCTCCCCACAACTGCACGTCTAACACACTTCTGGGCAAGCTTCCGCACGATAAACATTTAGCGATAAACTTCTAGCGACGTTCTCAGCTCAGGGTTCTGTGTGTCTCTTTCTGGTGGTGTTAACATCAGCTCCCCTCTCTGTGCTAACCCCAGACCCCACCAGGTCCCTGATTT